CCCAGGCAGAGTCTCAGTGGAGTCCAGGTCTCTGCTTCCTTCCCCTTTAAGGTAAGAAGTGCAGAGATTACTGATTAGTTGGTGAGGAAACTCTGACCCATTGGGGCAGTAATTTTCCCAGTGTCCATCACATCGGTGAGTGTCAGAGGAGGGGCCAGAGAATGCTCTGCTGGGTCCAAGTGTGGGTTCCTCCCTGACCCCACCAGGGGGCCCCTGGGACTGGCAGCGGCTCCTGGAGCCACTTAGCAGCTTGGTCCTCCTGTCTGCAGACGCTTTACCACCAGAGCCTGGAAGCCCTGCAGACCCTGCTCAATGCCCTCTTTATTGAAGACCCCACTCCTGCCGGACTCAAGAGCATCTTGGAGGTGCAGGGCTTGGAGGCTGGGGAGTGAGTGGCAGAGGGCAGAGGGAAACAGGAAAGGCTCAAGAGCAGTAGGAGCTGGGCCCAGAGGAGTGATGCGAGCTCAGGATGTCATCCAGTGCAGCACCCTTCTCCTGGCCTTGCAGGCCTGTCCCAACCTCCTGCCCCTACCTTTTCCCCACTTTCCACTGGTTGCTGTTGCCCCTGTGTTCTCTCTCTCCTTCCTTGGAACTCCTCCACTTTCCCTCTGGTCTATGAGTGTGGTTCGCATCTCTCCCTACACCACCAGGAGGCAGTGGCTGAGGGGAATCACCTTCAGGCCCTCTCTGGAAGCCTCCTGTAGATGGCTGCAGGCTGGCTGCCCACCCAGCAGCAGGGCTGAACCTCACCTTTGTCCCCCAGCCCCTGGGGCCCTGGATGAACTCAGGGAAGGACCACGAGCGCGCTCGAGCTGTGCACAGCAGCGTCTCTCTGCTGAACCACATGCTCCTGAGCCTGCCTTTCTACGTGAGTGTCCTGTGGGGTGGAGACTCGGGGTGGACTGCCTGGCTGTGCGCTGTGGAGCGTGGTAGACCCAGTAAGACTTGGTCCCTACGCTATGACAGATGTCCTCAGAGTTCCCGGCACTGGGGCTTCTGCTGGGGAGGCTCATCCTTCGTATTGGGGATCCTGACGAGGAGATTGGCCAGGAGGCTCTGGACGGCATCACCCTCCTCTACACCATCCTGGAGTTCCAAAAACGTAAGTGCCACCGAAGGGCCTAGAGCAAGGCTTCCGGACCCAGACCGGGCTGGGCCACCCTGAGGCCCCAGAGGGAGATGGAGAGACAGCATGGCGGGGATAGGCACTGTGGGAAGTGGTGTGCAGTTCAGGTCCCTGAGGAAGCAGGGCAGAGGCTAGGCACAGGCCTGTTTCAGTGCATGAAGGCACTTCTAGCTGAGCTTTTCCCTATCCCGCCAAGCTTGATTTGTGACCCATTTCCACTTCCCCGCAGCACCATGTCCACCCAGGCCTGATGGCCCTCGTGTCTTATGGGCTTGTAGGGCAGTGTCGTGTCTTGGTCACCACCGTGTTCCCATGTCAAGCCTGGGCCTGGCGGGGGGCAGGTTAGCTATTGAATGAGCAGGCAGAATAGGTCCTGTCTTAGAATCTGCTGCACCCAAGCCTGTGGGCGGGGAATGGCCCCAGCATCAGCTCCAGGGAGCTGGCAATAGCGCATATGTTGAGACCTGTGTCCAGCTGGCACTGCCCTCAAGGTGCATGGTGTCCACTGTCTCCTGTCTCCCTCCTTTGTAGTCCCAACTCTGCCCCAAATCCAGGGGACACTGGCCTATTGTTTAAACTCCCCTGGCTCTGGAGGCACAGTGACCTGCATATGAGACCTGGCTGTGGCCCTTCCCAGCTGTGTGACCTCAGGAAGCACTTTGCTTGTGTAGGCCTAGATTCTCCATCTGTGAAAGGGCACAATCCACAAGCTTTGTGAAATACTAAAAGAGATCTTTTTAGAGAGTCTGCAGAGACCAGCTCGGTGCCACCCACCCTGGGCACCTGTCAGATAAAATTCTTTTTCCAGCCTCTTGGGATTGGTCTGGTGTCCCTACTCCT